ACCAGGAAATGCCATTCAAATTTGTGCTTGATGTTATCTTGTTCATTTACACCTAGTAGCAATCATAGTGGTAGATGTTATCACTTTAGGTTATCAGAATTTACCTCATGAAACATAACATTCTTTTTTTTGGGGGGGGGTCTGGTTAGATTATCTTTAGCTTATGGTTGAAAAATGTAAGAAAACCTGGGTATTGCAATAAAAAAATGTCACAAGATATAAAACTATTTTTTTTTTAAATTAATAAAGTGTCAAGCTTTAATGTAAAGATTTTTGTTTCCTCTCAACATTTTTGACACTAAACACACCATTAAACAATTCAAAGCTCTTCTTGTTAAGGTTTGAGAAACTTTGTTCTTTAACATAAAATTCATTTAACTTTCAGGTAATAACCATAATTATTACTTGCATGTCATTACAGATATGACAGATAAGAAATTTATTATAGGACTGATTTATCTTTCCACAAAAAATAACAACTATGTAAAAAAGAAAAAACAAAATCTTAACAAATAAATGCTGTTTGTTTCATCTATTAAATGTAAATATGCAAATATCTCACACCCACCCACACACAATGGTGAGAGGAATACCTTCTTGATCATGACAAGAACTTTTCAACATTCTTTTTTTTTTTTCTTGCCTTCATCTTAATCCTATTTTATCTAAAAGGAAGTGGGTTTTGAAATGTTTTTGCGATCAAAAAATATAATCCTTTACAGTGAAAAAGAATTGTTAACAATATTGATAAACATTTAATTCAATCTCTTAGAACAAAGGTTATGTAGTATAAAAGGCTGATAAAATTAAAAAAAAAAAAATTTTCTTCTACTAAAAATCTTAATGTTTCCCCACAGAGTAAAAATGTTTTTAATAATTTGTACCACAGTTAATATTTATTACGAATGTGGAAGTTGTTTCATTGTCAATGTTGAGGCTTAAATAAATTGTGGAAAGCAGGAAGATAGTTAAAAGAAGTTTTATTGCCTTTTTAAGATGTGACAACAACTTTATAAGATGTCTAGTAAGTTTAAGATATTTGTGAAAGTTGCTCTCATGAGTAGAGAGTTTAATCAAAGGTCAGTCAAAAAGTAAAAACCTGGATGAAAGAAAACAAAGTCTGGACATCATTTGAACCCAGTGAAAAAAAAAAAAAAAAAGAAGTGCATTTGTGAATTCTTCATAGAACTGCTATTAATTTTGTCTCCCTTTCTGTAAAAGAGTGAATTCAAGAAATGGTTATGCAAATCAAAAACAATAATCTAATGGATTAAAGTGTTGGTTCGTGTATTTAGTGAAATAGTAATTGCGAGTTCAAGCCAAAGTATGTACTGGAGTCAGCAGAAACAGGACCAGCAATATTTGAGCAGTATTAAATATGAATGAGACAAGATATCCCTGGATATAAGCAGCAGAACAAGAAGAATCTCTCCTCACCCTGTATTAATTAAAAGATTCAATTCTAAATTCCCTGAAGGTTATCCGGATTGACAAATACCTGATGAAGGGAGGAGAAGAAACACATTGTAAGAAAAACAACAAAGATGTCAACAAAAGTCCACATGTAAATAATTATAGTTCCTCATCCAAAAATTCAGACAGAAATCTGAAGACTATCTTCAACCATAATTTCCTTGATAAAGAAATTACATCATGGATTCCAAAAACAAGTCAAGGAATGTTAAAACTTCAGATTAAATTCTGTAGCAAGATATTAGCTTCTCCACTCAACTGAAAGTCTGCTGTGCTCTCATCATTTCAATATGGCCCCTGTCAAGCCCTGAACAATATATCAGATATAGCAAATAGCTTCAACAATTCTAGAGTCGCATTTTTCAAGAAATCATGCAAATCTACTGGCAAGACAGCATCCTGAATTGAGCCAATTCTGCAAGTACTGAAGCAAAGATTTCGAAATCTTAACTCAGATGTGATCCACATGGATGAATTAAGAATGGGGCATCAGTTGTTCTATGGTGAACACAATCAGAACTGTACCAAAGGAAGGGGTACAAAGACAACCACATCTAACTGCAGCTTCTTTGATCTCAAACACATTGTTGCCAATCAGTTTGTCATGCATTTCCTCTGCTCCATGGCAGCAAACAACTTCCAAGCCAACTGGTGCATGTAATTCACCTCAAAACAAACTAAGAAAAACATCCTCTCAATGCCCAACAGGAAAAGTTTCTTGCTCCCAACTGCAAGTGTATCTATGCATTTAAATTCAACCTAGGGTCACAAACTGCATAAGACACTCATCTTCCTCAGATCTCAAGAGACTACCATAATGATTGTGAATTACCTCACTTGGCTTCTCCAAACGCCCCTAAGGTGGTGCCATTTATATTCATAAAAAGACAAAGATTGCCTTTACACTAAGATAGTTAAGAAGAATCTTTAGAAACATTGGGTTTTTTTTTTAATTCTCCGTTTATCTAGTGTTTTTTTATGGACTTGGGTGATCATGGCTCTGCCCATAATTCCTAATAATGACTTTGTTGCTCTAAAAATAATACTTAACCTTTCAGTGCCACTCTTTCTACTGAACCGATTTTAAACAGGAAATCAAATTCAAAATGTTGTTTTTTTTAGGGGAGGGTAAAAAGTAAAAACTAAAAGTACAGTGTGACCCGGATATAAGAGAGATTTTCTCTGGTCCCAAATTAGAGCCTGTGTTAATGTATATAAAATAGACCAAACCCGGATATAAGAGACTTCTTCTCCGGTCCCGACAACTCTCTTATATCCGGGTTACACTGTATTTATTCCAGTTTTTCTTCATATACCTTATTAATTTTTTTTTTCTTTCCGTGGTGAACCTTTTGAGAAATTTTATGTATAGATGTTGGCTCAAATAACTGAAAACTTTCATTTTTAAACGCGAATAAAAGTAAAACAATAATGGAAATGTACTACAAAAAAAATAACATTCCGTCCCATTGAATAACCAAAATTCGGCATTATTTTCCTACGAGTTCTTTATCAAATTCAATAAAATTGAGATTGTTTTGTCATTTTTTTTTTAATCGAAAAAAGATAAGTTTTAAAGTTTTACTGACAAAAAGTCTTTGATATGAAAAAATAAAAAGGAAAAAAAAAAAAAAAAAATCAACGATCCGTTTCGCTTTCCCATCATGGATTTTCAATTTCGATTTGAAAATTATGTGATTGAAGGAAGACTAAGAATAGGGTTATAATAAGAAAAGAGGTTGCGAAATTTGCCAAATACAGAACTACGAAGTATTATGTAAATAAATGAAAATGACAAACTTTTTAATCATTCGAATTTTGAACGTTTTCTAGCCTGCTCATGGCAAAACAATTCTTAATTCAACGTTTAACAAGTTTTTAATATAGTTTATAAAATTCTAATTAATAGCTTAGCCTTTAAATTTTAATTTTTTATATAGTCACTTTCTTTTTAAGAAGTCATACATAACATGAAAATTGAAAAAGTTTCAACTGTTTTTACTTTTTAGTTTTTATAAACTGACAAAACGTCGATAATTATTTTTTTTTGTTTTTGTTCATTTTTAAAGAGAAAAATAATGCTTAACGTTAGAGGATTAATTAATAATTTAAACAAGGAAAGTTTACGTAACATAAGTTTGCCTTTTTTTCTGTAAAATTGCGGTATTAGATTTTCTTACAATTTAATTTTAAAAAATAACACGTGCTTTTAAAAAGTAAGATTTTTTTGTCGCTTGAAATTAACTTTTTAAAACGTCACAAGTAAATAATTAACATTTTTTTATAAAAAAAGAAGAAAAAAAAAGAAAAAAGAATACTAACTATTTTATCTTGGAGCAATAAATTAAATACATTATAAACTTATTATTAAGTAATAAGTTTTAAAGTCTGACTGCGTATGGCCGATTAAAAACAAAAAAAAAAAACAACAAAAGCAAAGAAAGATATTTTCTTTTTTCATACTTACGCCGATACTTCTTTCCCACTGAGTGTAGCAGCAGACATCGTACCAAAGTCGCGATAAGTAGGAAGATGCTGGAAAGCTTTGATTTTCTGGGACAAAAGATTAGATGACGTGAACCAACACTGAAAACCAGGCGAGGTAACAAGACTAGATGTCCTGATGAAATAATTTCTTGTTAATGAATTAAGAAGGCGGCGACCCACGTGTGCAGAAATGACCACGTGACTCATTTCGGTTTCTTTATCGATATTTCACTTTCCTCCGTTCGGCTCAACTCGGAAAAAAGAAATGAAGCTTTTTATCTGACTTTACATGCAACAAAATATAGACGTGTGCTGACCCCACAATATGCTGACCTTTTAATTTTTGTTTCATGAAATGTCGGTGTACAAGGGAAATAAATCACAACTTTAAAAACAAATTGAAATAATTCTCTATATTTGTTGGCGCGAAAAATTGTACCTTTAAGGAAAATCCATGATTCACGACGGAAATGTTTTATTTTTTCCGTAAATTTAATCTTAATTTAGGGAGTCCTTCCTTAATATTATTTGAAAATCTGAGTTTATACATAAACAAAAGATGTTCAGTTTTTATGATAAACAGAACATCTTGTTTCTTTCGTGTTCATGGATTTTGTTTGCATATTTCGATTCGTTTCATTTTCCTACGTAAAATAAAAGAAAGACGTTCAATAAAGTTGGTTGTAGGAAAATGAAAGGAAGAAAATGTTATACATTTTTTACTAGAGTAGAAAAAAGTAATTTCATTTGTAAACAAGTCAGAAAAAGTAAATAAAATTAAAAATAAAATTATCTTTCAATAAAATTAATACTTTAATTAGGGACATGTCATTTTTTGTAATGAATAAATAAATGTTTTTTCTTTTTTTTAAGTGAGTAAAGACAGCTTCATCAAATGTTTTACTAACGTGGGTAAATATGTCTCTCCACAACTTTCTATCCTTTTCGTTTTTTTACTATCCTCCCCAGTACCTGTTATGTCATACACTTTTACACAAAATCGTTATTTTCTGTTTCCCTCTAATCCTCCTGCCATGTATGAGTGTCAAATTTTCCAAACCCTCTTTCTTTATTATGTGCCGCAACATTCTCTCTTTGATTCTGAGTATAAGTGTTCTTTTTGTTCCCATTTTCTTAAAACTTCCCTGTTGCTCACATATTCAATCCATGGTATTTCCAATGTTTCTGTAAAACTAAAAGCACATGTTGCCTAAAGTTGTAAAAGATAAATTGTAAAAACGAAAATGAAACATACAAATTTAGAACAGTTATTTTTTAATGCACAGAAACCGAGTAGAATAATAAAAAAAAATACAGTTTTTTTAATAGAGTTTTCACTTCGTTTGTGAGGAAATTGTCCAGCATTCACTTATAGCGGTTAATATGTTTTTCACACCCACTTACACTCCAAGTCATTTTATTCGATTGGCTAATAAACTACTACTACCTTTGTATAGGACAATTTAGCCATCGCAGTCGTTCCTTTGAATCTTTTGGTTCTGAGCATACTTACCTATTCTGTTTAGTACGTGTGTAGTGATTGGTTAATTTTTAACCAATCACATATTTTTAATGTAAGATCAAGTTTTCCCGCGGTTCCGTGCGAGCCTACCTTTTTTCCTTAAATAAAGGCTATTTTTCGCAAGTCACCTGTAAGATCCCAGCCGTCAACACAAATCCACGATCTTGCTCATCACACTCTAACGCACACACAGACACAGAACTTCGTAACTACAAACTTACATTTTCTCTCTGTAACTTTCGCCAAGCACAATCAACCGGAACTTTGTTGATTCAAACCAGTTTATTCACAACGCATTTCAAGCAATTGCATTCTTGGAGTTATTCATTCCCCACATGCAAACTTTGCTCTAACAATTATTTCGGGACATTTATCTCACAAGAGAACTTTCTTCGAATGGTTGATTACAACCAATCTACAGTCAAAGGGAAAGAACCTCTCTTTACTCTACATTGTGAACAATTTTATTTCATGCTTGTTGTTGTATTTTATTCAATATATATTTGTTGGTCAGCAAATTGGAGTTGTTGTTATTATTTCTTGAATCCTGTACGTGGAAGAATCATTAATATAAATACTAGTCGTGTTATGGGCGTGTTCTCTAACGCTATATCTTTTGTATTATTAATGATTCAAGAAAACAACGAAACTCCAAATGTGAATCAACAAGTATATATTGAAATAACATACAAGAACACAATATACAATAATTTGTATTCAATGTATAGATTAAGGGAAAAGAAGTTGCTTCCCTTTCACCGTATTTTGATTTGTAATTGATTGTTCGAAAGAAAGTTCTCTTGAGAGAGGAATGTTCAGGAATCAATGTTAGAACAAGTCTGCTGTTAGAATAGATAACACAAGAATACAATTGATCAGAAAGTGTGTTATGTTAGAGAAATCAACAGAGTCCTGGTTGATAAAACTTGGCTGAGTCACACAGAGATATGTATATATGTATTACAAAATTCTGTGTCTGTGTGTCCGTTTGAAATGTTGTGAGTAAAGTCATAGGTTTGTGTTGACAGGCGAAATTTAGTGGACTCTACTGGCGGCTTGTGAAAAAGTTGCCTAATTTTAAAGATGAGATATTAGGCTCCCAGCGAAAACGCGGGAAAAAATTAACGACTCCCCGTATGAGTCGTAACAGAGGAACAAATGACGAGACAAATTAAACAAGTTAAAAAAGTTCAAAATAAGTAAAATTCAGTATACAACGAAAATGTGAAAAGAGAAATTGTCCTAAAAAGGCTGTTTGATTTATTAGCAATCGCAGACGAATCCAAATACATGGCTGTTTGAAAAACATTGAAACAGTTTTCATTGTTGATAATATTCTTCTTCCCATGTCTGTTTGATGTTGTGTTAATCTCGGCTGTAAATTTAAATACATGAAAGATGAATTAATAACTCCGTATTTTTATAAATTTTTTGAAACTAAAAAATAATAATACCATAAATTTAAATAAAATAATAACATAAAAACGCTGTATAAAAATAATAAAATATGTCGATTTATTTTTATAAAAAACTTTTTTTTATTTCTCTAACGAAATCCCATAGCTAAAACGGATAAAATTCAATTTAAAATAATTATATTGGTACGAGTTCATGCGCTCCGATATAATCTAGATATTAAATAATCGCCAATAAATTCTCCAATTTAATCATCTACCATAAAACAATTGTTACAATGTTTATCTTTGTAATTCACCTCTGAGGATGATCTACAATTTCCTTGATGAATTTCATCTTAATTCTCAAGAAACTGGTTTCTGAAAAAGGAAATTTTATAAAAATCAACAGGCATAATTTGTCTGCTATTATTCAATGAAACCCCATGTTTGAATGAAGATATGCCAACCTATTCATATATATATATATATATATATATATATATATAAATATATATGTGTGTTCCCACATAAAAATAACCAAGTGAAGGACATAAACAAGTGTTCATTTCTTTTTTTTTTCATACCTTGATATGAAAGGAACTACCAGTTTCATTAAAATTTTTAACTTCAAAATACAATTGGTAACTGGTTTTTTTGTGGAAGGGACAACCTTATCCCTCAGTTCAAAAAGAAAAAAAATACAATTAAACGGAAGGTGATGTGTCCAGCATAAAAACAGACAACTAAAATCACTAAATAAAATGCCCAAAACATCTGGAATAAAAGTTCTACAAGAATCAAAACTTAATTGGGATAAAAGACTGGGACCAGAATAAATCAAAAAGTGTAGAACCTAAAAGTTCTACGATAAAAAAAAAAAAAAACACACACAACATTAAAAATATTTTGAAAGATGACTAAGAAAATATCAGTCCTTTATGAAGGTCCGTTAAATAGCTAAGAAAATAATTTTTCGCTCTCTATTTTGGCATTATGCCAGACATGAAAATACTTAGTAACAGAAAATTCCTCAAATAAAAAAACAAAAACACACACACACACACACACAGATGAAAAAAAAAAAAAATATATATATATATATAAACAGTATGTAAACGATAGTAAGAAAAAAAAAATTACCCCTCTTAACAAAATATGACAAAAACTGCTGAACACTTTTCAAAAAAGAGCTAACCACCCAAAATAAATGCCATATATATAACCCATAACTATATATATATATATATATATATTTATATAAAAACTAATGACCATTTTACTTTAAATGGCATTCTCATTAGCGATTAAACCTGATTGGGAGTCCCGGACAATGCAGGACCCTATTATCTTATCAAGATTTTTTTTATAAATAAATATAAAATACGTTACAAAATTAAAATAAAATATAACTGACTAAAACGTTGTATAAAATTTTGCGGATTTTTAAAATCAAAAATCTGGGATACTTTTTTGTCCAAATCCAAAAATTTGTTTTGCCAAATACTAACATTCCACCAAAAATTCACTAAATAGAGTTCACTGTTTTTTTATCCATAAATGTGTCCAAATTCTTGAACTTTTAACAAGAAAAAATTTAAATATGTAATTTTCTATTATGACATGTCCCATAAAAATTGTATTTATTTTATAAGTTTTCTAAATGAATTGTTCAAAGTATTGCAAAATTCCATTTCTTGTACATAAGTTTCATTTTCAATAAAATTTATATTTTATATAAATATTACCTTCTGATAATTGAGATGTAGTAGAGTGTGAATCAAAGTATCATTTATTAGAGGTGGCTGTAAAAGATTTGGGGTGGGTATATACACCCTTTTACCTGTCCTATAAAAATGCACACACACACACACACACATACATATATATATATATATATATATATATATATATATATATATATATAATCCTAAAATAAAATTGTACATTATTCAGAGTCATTATTTTAAAGTATCCAAATAAATGTTAAGTTGACATTTTAGTATGATCCCCTGTTGCCCGTTTAAAAAGAGAGTAAATGTCTTCATGTTCGATGTCATCTAAAGTCATTTTGTCATTCTTTTGCAAAATGGATGTCATCTTAGTTTTTTCTCTTTGTTACACGTTAAAAAAACCACGGACATAGTTACAGTCCTAAGCACAATATATTGATGGATCTTTTTCTCAAATTTTAATATTTAGTTTATCTTTTATTCACAAAGCTTAAAATATTAAAAAGAACAAAAAAACAAATAAAATTATTTAAAGTGCTTATGATACTAATAAATAAAGTGATAGGCTCATTGGACTGGTTTCTTTTCATCGAAAAGAAACTAAAGTTAGTTACCAACTTCCAAGGTTTTAGACACCATTCTGTTTCTCGCTTAGGAGTTCCTGGTTTTCTGGCGAGCAGTCATTTTCAGGAATTGTCAAGGCCTGGTAATATTTACATTTTTTTTTTTTTGGATGTCTATTTAGGTCACACTTGTATTTCTCTTTGTCACCATTCGAGGATTTATTCTTATTATTATCTCTATTATTAAATAGCATCTGCTAAATTTCTGAAGACGAATGCGTCATTTGTAACTTGGAGTAACATAGGTACAAACTCATGATGAAGACTATTGCACCGTGTCCATAGAAATATTCGCCAACAGATAAATAAATAACAAAAAATTATATTGCAGATATATTTTGATTATCAAACCAAGAACACAGTCATATATAAATATGTACGAACTTCAAATAAAAAGGATGCTTTTTAAGAACTTTGAGTTATTTCCCTTACCAACATCAAACTAAAATACTGGGACCAATAAAAGAAAAAAGCTTGTAAGTTTGGGTGAATAATAATAACTCCTTTCACCCACTTCCTTCAAATTCGGAGGATCGAGGAAGAAGAAATAAATTCCTTTAAACCAATAAAATTTTCCCTTCACAGAAATTGACCAGTGAGCTGAGAAGATGAAAAAAATGAAATTCGCGAGTCTACGTGAATTTTTTTTTAGACCAAAATGAAGAAAATTTAAATTAATATGAGAAGAGTGTTTGAAGTCATGTGAAAGGTTTCGTTTCATTTCTAAGACCTGTGTTGAAGTTCTCACCAATTATATTATCGGCCTCTAAGCAGCAACACTTCAAGATTTTCTCAAATCATAAAAAAAAATCTAAGTTTCAGTTCATTCGCGTTTAATCATGAATTTATGAAACCATATACCTTCGGTGAGCAAATTAACTTTCAATTTGTTTTAACATTTTTTAAAATATTGTTTTTTTTTAAACTGTCCATGTAAATTCCATGTGCTTGTAACCTTTCACTTGTTGTTAATACATATTTTGTTTACTCTTTATCTATTTTTTGTTTTCTTTGGAAAATTAAATCCAACTTCGGTGAGAAACGAATTCTTGGACCGATTTTTTAATAATATTTTATATGAATATTTCCAATTCATATGAATATTTTTTTTCACTACAAATTCGTTAAAACTTTATTTTACTGAAACAACGTCAAGTGTGTATGTTTGTAAATAAATTCCTTATATTGTTTTGTTAAAATTACACGTGTGTTTCTTCGTCATTATCATCCTTCATTAATTTTCTTGGCGTGGGTGAATCAACTGTTCATTTTAACCCCTAAGCCCCACACCACAACGACCTGGTAACCCTCGAAGTGCGAAGAAATACATACCTATTCTAACAGTATTGATCACAATTGAACATGTCTGACAACGAACAGGTGATGAATCAAGCATCTATGAAGGTCGACGAATCGATACAAACAGTATCCATTAAAGCAACCGTGTTCATTGAATCGAATGATTCTCAGTCATTGGGACACAGTCCAATATTAAGAGGTTAGGGACACACATACAGCAATTTTATCATGTGATGGCCGCATTACTACCGGAGAAGCAAGCTACAATCTACTATTTTACAATCGGGAGATTATATTAAACTTAATGAAGCAGTCGTAACGTTGCATGAGAAATTGAAGCCAGAGATGCTTGACAAATTAATGTCTTCTTCTTCCACTCTTACAGGCAGACCTTCCGTTTATTTAAATAAATTAATTGCGTTAGCAACAAAAATTGGGGTGAGCAGCGACATCATACGACACAAGTTCATACAAGAAAATTTGATTAGCATAAAACCGGTCCTTGCAGCCCCAACGGATTTATAAACGGTAAGACTTGAGAAGATGACTAACGACCTACTGCTGTATTTTAATAAGCATTGTCGCAGTCCCGTTCAGCAGGTACAACCAAAGAAAGGAAAAGACTGTCGTAGTAGGAATTACGATTTCAATTTACTGTAAACTCGTATCATCACGACCAGAAACCCAAAATATGCAAGGCGCATATCTAGTATGCACATTTTTCGAGATCTTGTAAACCATATGGTGTATATAGCCGAATAAAGGGAATATTAAAGTAAAACTTCTTATGGCGGCTTTTTCTTTTACATTAGCCCGTTGTGATTCAATGTTATTTGGAAATCAAATAGCACTGAATCACAAAGGGCTAATGTGAAAGAAAAAGCTGACATGAAAAATTCAAATCCATCCCTTAAATCTAGCCAAGACTTCAACGAAGCACTTACTCAAATCAAGAACTCTTATGAAGATTAATACATCCGATTATGAAACTGAATGTATCCAAGAAAAAACTTCGGTTCAACTTTGCCACTGCCAACAAACAATTTGCTCTTGCTTGAAAATCTGTCAATCAGATCAGAGGCAGAAAATCAACAAATAAATCCAAGTTAAAAGCCATTAGTCGGGCTGATAGACCATTTTAAGGATCTTTTGCGGAACGTACCTGGCATTTTAGATATTATGGCCGAACAAATCAGTGAACATTTCCTTGACATTAAACCTGGAAACTTTACAGACACAGAACTTGAAACAGCTTAAAAAAAAAAAAAAAAAAAAAAAACACCAAAAATAGGAAAACAGCGGGACTTGATAAGATTGTGAACTTTAAATGACCTGTCAAGATTTCTGCTGCAATCTATCCTCCCTCATGGAACCGAACTGATGACTGACACGTAAAGATGTTCCATAGACATGGTCTCGTGCACACGAATTCGCATTTGAAGCAACTTGTGACAAAAGCACAAGTACTCAGTTTTTACGAACCAAGTGAAACACTCGTAATTCAGTATGATGCAATCTCAGAAGGAATTGGTGCAGCCCTACCACAGTAAGGAAATTCTGTGACAAACAGGGCCCTCGCTGAGACAGAGCTGAGGTATGCAAAATTGAGAATGAAATGATTGCAATAGTATTTTCATTGGAGAAATTTCACCAGTACATATATGGTAGGCGAACAGAGATTCACACTGACCACTAGAGAACATCGTGAAGAAACCTCTTGCGAAAAAAAAAACACCAAAACGTCTACAGGGAATGTTACTACGTACCCCAAAATACGACATTAATCTAGTATATGTCAAGGGAAAGTACATATAAATCGTAGACATGCTATCACGATCATATTTGACAGATGAGAGCTGTCAAACAGTTTGCACATGTGAATATGGTCAGCTTCCTTTCGATCCGCAATGAAAGGCTTATGCAGAGCCACAGACCAGGGCAAAATATGTGACCAGCTGAAGAAAACCATATTACAGGTGAGGGCGTCTGGTAAGGCAAATCTTTCAGCTACACTACACCCATATTTCCATTTACGTAAAGAGATGTCCGCTCAAGATTGTCTCATATTTAAAAGTGACCGTGTACTCGTTCATCTCAGTTTGCGGAGTGACATTAAACGTGCACTTCACTGATCGCACATACGAGGTATTGACGGGTGTCTACGGCAGACCAGAAAATGGGTTTTCTGGCCAGGCATACGGACATACGAGAGTACATCTCCACGTGTGAAACTTGCTCTAAATTCACAACCAAAAAGCCTAAAGAGACATTAATGTCGCACGCTATACCTAATCGTCCGCGGCGGAAGGTTGTCGTTGACCCATTTGAGTTTGACAGCGTCAAGCAGCTCGTCAATTACTTTTCAAACTTCTTGGAAATAGAGGGCACTACTGCCTCAATCTTCATCATTTAAGAACTTCGGTATCTCTATATTTCTGAGATGAGCTATTATGTACACTATTTACATTGTTCGGACGATCATCCCTATCTCTGTTGCCATATGTTGCGTTGTTGGAGAGGGGAATTGACAAGAGATAACTGATAACTGACATCCATTAGACATGGCACGTTGAACTAGAACTAGTAAGTCTACTCACTGAGCGAAATAAAGGGTTCAGTTCGACATTCCAACCAGAAGAAGGCCAGAGTGCACAACGGCCGAAACGTTGTGATAAATATGGCAACAAAGATGAGGATGATAGTCCAAACAATGTAAATAGTGTATGTAAGAACTTCTCGGAAAAATGGGATTTCGAACATCTCATGGCGTGCCCCGGAAATCAACAAACAAATGGCAAAGCTGAATCTGCAGTTAAAAGTGCAAAACGGTTCATGCGAGAAAAAAAAACAAAACAAAAAAAAAAAAACAATGACCCCCCAACACTGACCAGTTTCTGACACTGCTTAATTTCAGAAAAAAAAACACAACCCAAAGAATGTAAAGCAGCCTTTCACAGTGCCTGCTAAATTGCCGCGCCTGTCTGATACTACCCACGAAAAGCATCTTATTAAAACTTAGAATGGCGAGCCTTGAGCTAAATGATAAGACTCTACTGGAATACAAGCATAAAGTTCAGGCTAAATATTACGATCTTCAAGTACGTGACTTATCGTGAAGGTAATGCTGTACGAATGAGACTGTACAAGAAATATGATAGAGTATGGAAGAAAGGCGTCATAAATCATCGAAAGGATGAGCGTTCGTACGAAGTCTAGAGCCCAAGTGGAACCTATCGACGAAAGAGACGTCACTTACGAAAATCGTCAGAACAAGTAGAGCACACGACAAATGGTCAGCCACCACCAAACCTTGCCGATAATTTTGCCATATGACACGGCAAAAACATAAAGTGCTCCACCACCTCTAATCGCATCATCAGCTGTCGCAAGCGAAGACACTAAAATGAACTAAAGAAACGCGAATTTCCTGCCGGGATTCACAAACACACTAAATGAGAGATACGACAACCAGTGTACGTGAAAGACAACGAGAAACGAGTCAAGGACAATGTATTGTAGGAACTTTAAGTAAGGGTGAACTGAAACTGATGCGCATGTATCTTTCAACGTTAGTCCGCGAAAAAATAAATTCAGTCTTATATTTCCAGTGCGGACGTAGTTGAAAGCATACCATGTGACATTCTTCACCCAATAAAATAATTCCTTTCAACTAAGATAAAAGCGGGTTCTACTTGAAGGAAAGAATTCTCAATACCAAGCAGAAGGAGCACTAGAATTTATCCCTTTCACGTTGAACAGCAATAGAGTCTTCCAACGGAAATTGCCGTCTCAATAGGAGTCAAATGACTAAAATCAGTCATTTGCATATAGGCCCCGAGTGGCACTTCCGGTGTTTTAAAAACATTCGAAATATAATGTAGGTTATTAATCAACCGCTGACAGAGCTTCTCTCGCATTTTTTGTTGTTGTGAGCCATCACCTCTTCAGGTAATCTATAGAGGCCATACACCAAGGAAAAATCACTTGCAGAAAGGATTCCGCATTCTCAACAGATTCTTAATCAAATGAAACAACATTTCCTGTTTTTTTAATGTAGATTCTACAATGAAACCAAGTTTCCCCTTTTTAAGGGGTTTTATTATAAACACGCCTCAAATGTGTATATGTGAACTTACCCTTCTTTTCAAGTGTCTTATTATATTCATACGATATATAAAACATCCAAATAAATTGTTATTTGTCTATATCTCTTAGATGAGGTATTATGGTTACTTACATTATTCGGACCGAAACGTTGTGAATATGGCAATGTTTGATGGATGTCAGTTGTCTCCTGTTAATTCCAGAGGGAAATTAACAGGAGATAACTGACATCCATTAAAACATGGCACGTGGAACTAGAACAGTTTACCCCAGTGAGTGAAATAAAGGATTCAGTTCGACATTCCAACCACCTGAAGGAGGCCGGAGCGTACAATGGGCAAAACGTTGTGATAAATATGGCGACAAAGATGAGGACAATAGTCCGAATAATGTAAATAATGTACGGAATAGGTTATTTGAGTCTGGACGGAATAGCGAAGGGCTGCGATAAAGTTTTATTTTTAATTTGTGTGTCATTTTGAAATTTCCTTTCAAATTATTTTTACATTAACTCCTATTTCATAATTTTTTTTATTCATTTTATTTTTGTGAGTTAGCTTGATAAAAACGTAAGGCTAAAGTAACTAAAATTCAATAAAATATTAGATAATTACTGAAATATGTTAACTTTTAAAAATTACTAGATAGTTAAAAACTAAAAACAAAGTGTTCACTTAGATTTCGTAAATTTATGTCAATTTCTGGTCAACCATATTTAGCTTTTCAACACGTTAGGCTGTCAATCAATGTCTTCATGACCTTAACCTTTTCTTCATTGTCTTGCCACACACCGTTCAATTTAAGTTCATTTAGTTTCTTAATGATTTTTTAGTTCTTTCCATCTTACGAACCTAATCGGAATACGCTTTGTGAACATTTTTATATTTTTTATGAATTATCTTTTCTTGAGATTTTTAGTACTTTACAAGACTAGTTAATGTTTACACTCCATTTCCATATATCACAGCCATTCACGTCGGAAGTGAAACGCATGTCCATGACCGTTGTGACCAGGGCGATTGGACAGATTACCACAGACCCTTCTGACATTCCTAGGCTTCATTACTTCCAGCCCTTACCAGAACTTAACTCACCTGGTTTAGGAAATTGCTGCATGCATATTGTCCAGATTTCGAATAACCTATTCCGTATACTTCGGTTAAAATACTACGGAAGGTTCACCATTAGACCTGCAGCTACTCAACTGCACTTTCGCCGGCCATTTGAACTGAACTTTCAAACTGTGGACTTATGTACCAACCACTTGTAACAGTTAATCACAGACATAATATTTAGATCTTCTAGCCGGTCAGTATTCCTCAATTCTGCTTCCATTACTTGATTCTTTGTTTGCTCATTTTCCTTTAAACTGATCAACTATTGTGTTCCATGTAAATAAACTTTGTATTAACTTTTAAATATCCTCGTTCTGTTGTCCATTTTTGTTCCACCTGTCAGATTTCACGTCTTTAATTTATAAACATTAGCGCACATCCTGTGACTATCTTCATTTGGGCGCACAGGCCATTTTATATCCAGGGGGTCTAGTACAAACAGGACTCACATTTTATGCTAAGTAATATTTGTTTCAAATCAGTTTAATTTAAATTTGCCTCAAATAACGTGTCACAAACATATTTGTTTTTAAAACTGAGAATTAACTTTTCTTTTTTTACACAAATCTCTCAGAATGGCCGATATTTCTAAAAGCAACCAAAAAGTTGAGATTCCAATCAATATAATTTCTTTTTGGAACACACCAGAGTATTTTTGTTACTGAAAATAGTAAATTTAATTTAACCATTTAGCTTTCAATTTAAAGCTTAAAAGAAAACTCCAAGAATGCTTTTTTGTTTTTTAAAATTAATTTTAAACTTTAGGTATCAAAAATTTAATGGAGGTCCCTACTTAAATGAATTAGTACCAACAATCATCACTGGCTCCCCCAACAGACCTGTCTTACAAAGTTTTCCTATGAACATTATTCACTTTTCTTTTTGTATGCAAAAACATTTTGTTATTACAAGTATAATTCTAACAATTTTATCCTTGTTGAATTAAAGCAAGAGTTTCTCCCCAACCCCATACAGCTCATTCTTTCATTTGCTCGGAATTCCTGATGCTTTTGTATCTTGGCAATATAGTGTCGGAGTTGGCTCCTCCTTAGTTTCTTAATCCTTCACCAGGGGGGTCTCTCTCCCCTTGCTATAAATACTGGGTGACCTTTTGCCTTGATCTTTCTTTTCCCCCCTCAGGCCTTGGAGGTGAGCTAATTCTTTCTCTTCTTTCTTCATTTCAGCTAATACCAATATGTGAGCTCTCACCAATACAGTGTTTCCCAAATTCTGGGAACACGCTAAGAACAATACCAATACACGTACATACGAACACCCACCACAATAGACACACATAATATTCACCACACAAACTCAATGTAACTGTCCATGTGCTTGTAACTTGTTAATACATATATTTGTTTATATATATAATTATCAAGCTTATTTGTTTTCTTTGGACTTAATTAAAATCCAACATTCTCACGTAGCTGGACGGGCTAGCAGAAAATTTTAACCCACGTGTGTTCTTTACATCTTCACCCACGGTCCTTTACAATAGAAGTAGTAGTAGATGGAATATAATTAGGAATCTTCCTGTATGATTCCCTGACAACAGTACATAAGACCATAGTCTTTATTTGCAAAAGGGATGATGTTACATTATAGTTTAATGTATACTCTCTTTGTATTACAGTTTAATATATGCTCCCTACTCAATGTTAAAGAAAAATTCTCGTTCCCTTAAACATTCCTTTTCTCTCTCTTCCTTCTTGTACTTGAATAAAACCGGTGGACCTTATGTCAGCTC